TTAGACGACAATACCTTACGTCATAAAGAACGGTAACCCTATACGGTTAAACATTTCAATACTAACTGACCAGTCATTTTATACATTATCATATATTTACATTCATACCTCGTATTAAAAATATAATATAGTATAATAGCACCGGTGTTCTGAAAGGGGCATTGTGGGAGAATGGATAAACAGTTGACAGTTCTTGCTATAATAGTTACAAATATATAACGTACATAGAATATGCTCCACTCGGATATGAGCTTTTGAATTTTAGGCTAGCCTCGATCATCATTTATAAAGTCGGTACGAAAAGTCTCGATTATCCATTTTTACGTTTAATTACTTTTCAAAAAATGTTTTCCAATCAGCTAAATATCACAGGCTCGATGGCATCGAGAGTTGATTATGTTCTGGATAAGTTAATTATAATGTCTAATTAATAATTTAGATAACATTTCAGGCCTAAAGATAGACTTGCAATATGCAGATTTAGCTCTTGCATAATGTATGCTTAAATTAAGCTGTACCCACCTACTTGACTCGCATTGTGGGGAGCGGATAGCCAAATGGTTAGCGCGTGCGTGTTGTATCATAAGGCCTGTCATTGAGTCAACTGGCGTGATTTCGATTCCCCGGTTGCATGTGACAAGGGGTAGGGTCGCCTATCCAACTTCGTGGGTTTTCTTCGGGTACTTCCGGTTTCCTCCCATGGCTAAAGAACCCTACGCGCAAGCGAATTATTGAAATAAAATTGAACCATATGTTAGTTCCGAAATTAAATAGTTTGTGTCGAATGAATGTTACCCCCCCCCCGCCTCTCTCTCTCTCTCTCTCTCTCTCTCTCTCTCTACTCGCATTATTTACCAGAGCGAATAATCCAGGAGTATTTACCAGAGCGAATAATCCAGGAGTATTTACCAGAGCGAATAAATCCCGAATTTTCCACGCGATAAATACATTCTAGCCTATATTGACATATCATTTCGCAGATTGACTGCTATGACATCCTTGCTCTGCGATCCAGGAGGTAGAATCAACTCTTCTTACATCAGTTATCTCCTATCGCAGAGAGCAACGACTGCAGGTCAAAATGCTACTGCGATTGCCTAGGAATTTTCCTCGCTGCTTTAAGATCTTGTAATATCATTAATTAGTCATATCGTTAGATCTATGCTGACAAGAAACCCCATTTCTCTCTCTCTCTCCCTTCGTCACGTGACATCGTTAATTTACATATCACAGTTATTGTGTGAAATGCGATAGAGGAATTTACTCATGTAACCTAAACCCAGATAATAACTCGGTAACATTAGCCCGTAAACATTTGTCGTTCGATACATTCACGGGACTTAATATTACTACACATATAGCTTTTTATTTACATTTTACTTTTTACAAATTAATCAATGGAATCGACATACTAGGAGCACATTATATTGGCATGCAGTCATGTATTTCCGAACAAATGTGCAGCTTAGTATATAGTTTTTGATAAAAAAAAATAATTCTATTAAAACTTTACAAGCACAAGCAAAATTGCGTTGGAGAGAGTAGGGCGTGTTATAATCTTACAACTGGCATTTTACGAAGGCTGGCTGAAAAGTTCTAAACCCGAAACATTACAGATAGATCTATTAGGCTGAAATACAATTTTGCAAATAACAAGTACTATCATTGTCTTAGTACCAGACCATCTTGTGAACCTACCCATTGCAATCTCCAGAAATTGACAAAACTGGTTATAGGGCGGTCATTAAGTACCTGTAACTGAAAGAACTAACCCCAGCACAGATACATGTCGACATGGTCTTCGCTTTAGGAGATGGTGCCCCTTCCTTTTCCACAATAAAGACGTGGGCTGCGGAATTCAAGCGTTGCAGAGAGAGTCTTGGCGATGACCCGCGTCATGGACGGTTACCAACAGCAACCAAGTCCCTGACATGGCGATGGCTGATCGACGATTTACCAATCGACATATTGTCACTGTCAGTGTTGTGAGCATCTTTCATGAGAGGGTTGAGCACATTATCGCCAACGAGTTAGGAATGACAAAAGTTTCTGCAAGATGGGCGCCAAAGTTCTTGACTGCGGATTAGAAACGTGTCATATTCCCGACGTCCCGTGACAATCTGCGTCGTTTTAAAGCAGATCCTGATTTTATTGTTTGACCGGATTTGTAACAAGGGGTGAGACCTGTTTCCAAAAATGAAGAAAAGTTATCCTTGACCGGCATCCAGGCCTTGCAACAGCGTTGGCAAATAGTATGTACACCTCGAAGGGAACTATGTAGAAAAATAAATGAAATCCATCGACTTTATACAGGTTTTTCACAGATAGGTTTAGCACTTTTCAGCCAGCCCTCATACGATATCACGCTCAAAGGCATAGAAAAATAAATGGAATCCATCGACTTTGTACAGGTCTTTTACAGAGGGGCTTAGAACTGTTCCGTCAGCCCTCATACTGTATCACGCTCAAAGGTAGAGTTCAATAAGACTATAGTGGACTCACCTGAACTTCGAGCTAACAAAATATGTATATACAGCCCTCATACGATATCACGCTCAAAGGCATAGAAAAATAAATGGAATCCATCGACTTTGTACAGGTCTTTTACAGAGGGGCTTAGAACTGTTCCGTCAGCCCTCATACTGTATCACGCTCAAAGGTAGAGTTCAATAAGACTATAGTGGACTCGCCTGAACTTCGAGCTAACAAAATATGTATATACATGTATACTTGTGTGACATTACAGTTTATTATGACCTAACTAAAATTACCCCTATATAATTACACTTGTATCATAAATGACAAAAGAAAATTTATTTTTGTATTATGTAAAGAGGCAAATATTTGCATACTTGAAGAAGACCATCGTCGACCTAATCAAAGGTGGATAGGTGAATGCGATCCTAACATTTTCCCGCCAGATACAATAAGACTAAAAGATAGTATTATATTGACTTAGTGGTATAAATATTTTAAAGAGGATTATACATTTATATCAGTATGATTATACCAAATTGAAGACAAGGTTCTTTGGAATAATTAACAATTCCTGAATGTAAATGCATGGCTTAAGATTCAATGAAAACTTCTTCCAAAATATCTCTTGTTTCGCTCAAATTAATGAATCCCGCAGATTGTGAAAGTAATTTGAATTTTCTTTACTTATCTATCACAGTAACCATCTGCACTGGTGAGCGTTCCTTCTCCGCTGAAACTTTTAATAAGATTCAATTATTTTTCCCTTTAATTTGTTTCCAATTAACTACGGATATAGACTTTCAGACCAAACACAATAACAAGTAGTGTTATTAATTCGTCTATTCCTAAAAAAAATAGTTCCACCTAATTTCTGCTAATTTCATGCCGCCATCTTTATTAGTCTTTAATCGTATGTGGAGGTCGTATATATTTATCAAAAACGAGAACTAAATACATGTAGATAGATTAGCTCAAATATAAAAGGAAGATAAACAATAGACACATTGTCAATCATCATGAGGTATGTGACAGTATTTTCAGATTGATTATTATTATTTGACAAGGTGACCAACCTATAACCCCGAGGCCATAATACCTATTGTCTCCATGATGAATAGAGCTTTACTTTTTGGTGTATACAGAATTGCCGAAGAGCAGGAAAGTGTTAATAAACTTTCTTAAGTTGATATTAAAGAGTGGCAGTCGGATAATATATGGTTAAATTCCCTAAAACCGTATTAAGTTTATTTATTAAGCCGCTTAATCATAGTCTCCAGTATATATAAACAAAGACCTAAAGCATAGCGGGGTGGGCTGGGGTATAGTGAAACAATAACCCCATCCCTGTAATATCTGTACCAGTAATAATCTTAATAAATCTTCCCAATTATCTCCAAAATAGCAGTACATGGTTTTCTGTTAAAACTCACTAAAAACCTAATAACTTCCAAACTAGTACTCTGGTAAGACTTACTGAGACCTTTATTATCCTGAATCTATTCAACTACATGAGCTTCACCTTACAGAGTGAGCGTCACAGACGCGGGAATTAGGTGAATGATGCTAAACGTTGAATCAGCTTCATAATGCTTAAGTATGTCAGGTATAGAAATCTCCACGGGAACGTAGATCCTAATGTCTAGCCTACTTGTTCAAGTTCGAGGTTATGCTTTTCAAAGCTTAATTACACTTTTACTGTAATCGATCATACAGGACAATTATACAGTACGAAAATAAGATATACAGGAATAGTGTTTAAAAAAAGGTGTAGGTCGATTTTCCTGTGATGTAATTTCATAAATACACCCCTCCTCACCGCCTTCAACTACTCCCACAACTCAACTTCATGTTCCTTTTATCAACATACTTAAGAATAATTATCAAGCACATTTTCATTCGTTTTCGCTGAAGATGGTAATTTTATTTTACTCGAAAAATAGCATTTTCTTTAGCTGAAGAATAACATCTGTTTTAGCTGAAGAATAACATTTGTTTTGGCTGAAGAATAACATTTGTTTTAGTTGAAGAATAAAAGCATTTTGTTTTAGCTGAAGGTGTTATTTTATTTTAATTGAAGAATAGAATTTTGTTTTAGCTGAAGATTGTATTTTATTTTAATTGAAGAATAGCATTATTTTTAGCTGAAGACAGAATTTTATTTTAATTGAAGAATAGCATTGTTTTAGCTGAAGATGGTATTTTACTTTACCTTAAGAATAGATTTGACCTAAAATAAAACCCCACACCAACTCGATTCCTGTTATCGCCATAGTTACATTTTTATCAAACACACGGATGTATTGTCCTTTATGGTACGGCTTCACGGGGTTTATATCGAGTCGTGGTATTGCATTTATATTAGAAAGATAGTTCTGGTTGCCCTGTGACTATATAACTACTGTTTTATCCAATCCCAGTGACGACATGATAAAAGTGGCGTCAGGGTCCACTTTGCGAAAGATTCGGTGTGATAATTAGCTCAAAATAATTTAATCATAGTATTTATAAATATCACAACTTACCTGTCATTTGTTCCGTTCACCTGTTTCACCAAGACTATTTATGGCGGTGTATATTACGATATATCAAGTTACAACACTTCCCTACAATCAACTACCAAACACATGGCCCACTATTTAATATTTATACAATGCTAACGGGGAGAGACGCCACGGGCGGACGCGAGTGAGATCTGCGTGAGTGCAAAGGCCTCCTTTTGGAAAATTTTACGCGAACAGCGACGCCAAAGCCTACTATTATATCGAGTCCCAACTGTCCAGGATTATTTTACCTGCACGCCAGTTTGTACACGGGATCTCGAGTTTTCTTATCCCAATTGTACAATTAGTGACTGGCAAGCAGAAAAAACGCTGGACAATTCCGGGAACAATTCTCGCAACACCGGGATCGAATCTCTCCCCCCGCCACCCGCCGTTAGTACCCGTGCTTTACTCACTGAACCATCGCGACTCGCCAGTAAACAAATACTGAAATACAATAAAGTAGCACATTGATTGCGATAAGAATGTTTACTACATTGTTCATATCTTGGCATAAGTGTGTTATCAACGTTTTATCTAAACGGGCCTGGCCGCTTTGAGTATGAAAAATGATATCTATTTAAATAAATTTTATGTTTTAATTTATTTGAGAAATTGATACCTGACCTGTCTATATTTTAAAATTTACGCTCTTCGATCTGGTGCTGAGTCATGGTCATTAATGTCTTTTACCGTAGGTGGTTAAAGAATCATAACTATAAACTAAATTATTACAGGCTCTCCTCTTTCACAGATAAAACATGTGGGAAAATAATGTCCCCACACGCTTAATTATATATTTGACACCGAGGTCTATACATGCTCAAGCCATTTAATACAGATGACCAGGTTTTAACCCTTTCTAAAAATACATTTTTATAGGTAAACACTGAACCGATTGGTTCGTTCACGGCTGCTTCCACCTAAGGTGATATTAATGGATTAATGGGTAATTGATTGTGTCCTATTTTAAAAAAAAATCAAAAGGCAGTAAAAATTAGTAAATACGCCAAATACAACAGAAATAAAATCTTAACACTCAGTTGGTTTAGTATTCGCTTCATTTCTCATCCAAACACATTAAATCAATGCAATTCGTCTCTTTATTTTTACCCACATCAAAGCTGATTTACTTGTTGAACATTAAACTGTGTATATAAACCTGTTTATAATCTCTTTGAAGAGACACGTATATTTGTTGTAATTTTATTATAATTAACTATAGTATAAATTAATATGCATTAAATGCTACTTTTTTATTCGAAATTGGCTTAAAACAATATTTATGTTACAGAATTAACAGATAAAAAGGAGAAATTGCTTTATATATTATTATGCAACTACAATGACTGTTTTTAATTTTTTTAAATTCGACTTTGTTTATTTTATATATATATATATATATATTGAACAAAAAATCTGTGATCAAAATGAAACAAAGTTCATGAGGTTGGCAAAAATGTGTTTGATGGCTGATTCACTTGTAAAACATTGTCAACCGTCTATATATATCGAAATGAAATGAAATGGTAGTTAACCTCCTACTTTTATGTACCAGTTGGAGTAATGAAGACGAATATGTCCAATGCAGTGTACTATGAGATAAATTTTGCCCGGCGCCTTATTCGCTGAACCACCGGAACAATGCTGATTTTCCAAATATGAAAATAATCCAATTTTAGTCAAATTTTCCGACAGACAGTTGACAATTTTGGTCATTTCCATTTTTTGCTTAAATTTTAAAAATGTGACAAAAAGGGCAGCTAAGTTATCTTCCCTTCGAGTTATTCCGCCAAAAATGGGAGACAAACTCAAATGTATCTATGTCAAACACGTTGCCACATTGCAAATATCCCTTTAATTACTTTTTAAGACACGCGTGACAAACGTGAGGAATGTTCTTATCACCCCACACCCCCTATTAGTATATTATTTGTCAATAGTGTTAGATGTTCGAATGACACGGGATCAAAGCCACTTGATCCAGAATGTCACCAACTACAAACATCAGCGCTATCTTCGTCGTTTTCGGTATAACAATTTTTGTATAAGTAAATATATATTCAATAAATTTTAATGTACACAGGAAATGTTCATAGCATAATGTACAATCTGCAAGATTTTAAAATCTAATAATATCCCAAAAGGTATGTTGGTTGATTGATATCATGTCGACATCACGACATTTTAACCTCTTACCACGACAGCACGACATCACGACATTTTAACCCGACAATACAACATTGTATGGCGTAAAGCCTGGCACACACTGTGCGACAACTTAAACGTACATTATGCAAGAGCTAAATCTGCCTATTTCAAGTCTTTATTTAGGCTTCAGATGTTATAGAAATGATTAATTATACCTTTTTATTCACACGACAAGCTCAAATTCAACTCTGTAGACCCACGGATGGCTTGGATATAGTTTGGATTTAAACAGTCGTCCATTTAAAATTAAATCAAGAAATGGCGGACCAAGCTAACGTTTACCGTTAGTCGGTGATGTTACTTGATAATTGAGAATATGTAGGTGGAGTTATCGTCTGTCAATCAAACGATCGCCAATTCTCATAGACGGTGCACTGCAGACACAATTGATGCATATTTATAGTCCAGCCTTCCAATAGTGACAATTCCGTTCAGAACAAAGTAATTTGACTGAAATTTTCAACATTTTCTTTTTTTATCATCTATTTTTGAATTATTATAGCAAGAATGGCCAACTCTTAGGACAACACCGGTCGAGTGTTGTGCTTATATAGTATTCCAAGTAACGATCTCAAATTGGGCGACCCTGGTATGTATAGAAAACAGGCTACGTGAGGATGAGCCTAGAAATATTCCAGAGTATCCTACATATGATTAATCCTCTTATTACCAAACAAACAACCAACATGGGACAATCAATAAGCCCGGGAGAGTGATTGACTATCACCCTTCGTTTTCTCGCTACAGTTGCTGGAAAAAAATCAACAACCGCCCATTCTAATTACCATCTATGAATCCTAGGACTATATTATTGAGTATATTGCTATACAAACGGAACAATTCACTGGGCCTACCATGTATACGACAGCTCACACATTTAATAAGTGCCAGAATCGAAAACTTAATTTTAATTAGTTAGTTAGGCCTAAATTAGATTACCCGAGCCGCTTATATATACATGCAACAGAAAAAGATTCCGAGAAACCTCGTGTGTGGTTATGTCACATGAGAGGAATAACCAAACATGGTTGGTTTATATAGGTGAATTTATTTCCTTGATTGTCGCTTAACTTGTCGCCGAGGTGAGTACTTTACACGATTTGTTGCCGACGAAGCGACGACTTGGGCGACTATATCAAACATGACTGATATTAGCGATCATCGCCGGCGACGAAATATCGCTAGCGACCGAGTGCGCACACTAGGCGAGTTTTTGAATTTGTATCGTCGGCGACCGAAATCGCCAATGTCGTCGCGTAGTGTGCGCCAGGCTTAAGCCCGTCTTTATTAGCCCAATCGGAGCAGAACAGTAGGACGGTAAACTCCATTTCATTCGCTATACAGTGTACTGTGAGGGAAACTTTGACCGGATAGCGGCGCTACGGCCTAATCTTATATTGAATTCCAACCGTCAGGGGGTATTTTTAGGTGCACGCCAATCTGTAAATAGAGCCTCGGTTTTCCGTCCCATTCGAACGACTATGCGTTATCCTTTGCCAAGCCCCCGTCCTGCACCACTGTCAAAGAGGAATCATTCCGACATTACGCGAATTGTCCGATATCCTCTCACATTGAGCAGAAATTCGCCCGTGTATCTGTTATCACTCGTCACATCAGTCAGTTATATAGAAGGATAACTCTTGTTTTCCTTTTGTTTTCGTCACTTCCTTTTCTTGAAATGTTCATTACGCATCTATCGTAGCAATGACCTCTGTGTTAAAATAATTTTTGGAACATATGTGATAATGACTTATACCAATATTGTCCTTTAACTGACCCACGTGTTCCAGCTCAACATTTTCATCGACGTTTAGTTCATGCACTGTTTCTGATCAACATGTCCCGTGCACATGTTCCTGATCAACATGATCAACATGTCCCTCATCCACATGTCTCCACATGTCCCTCCTCAGTTCATTCTGCACACATATACAAAAATTAGTAATGTGGTCTTACTCCGTTTCATATCTGCCATACACAAAAAGGTTATAAAAAAAACCTTTTCATTGATATTAAATTGAATCGGGATAAATATTTCTCAAAATTATCAAAGGATACTTACATGTAGAGTTTTCGGCTAAATGGTCGATTTAGGAATTAAAATATCGGTCAACTAGATCTGTGTCTGTTCTTAGGCGGATCTAATTGTAAACAGGCAGTGTAAGTTTAGTATGTCCTCAGTTGAGACTCACGAGTAAAAACAAGTAAAATACTCAATAATTTTGTACTATTGTAAATTTAATCACACTGAAAAAGATCTTTTGTTGGATCTCAACACAAGGACTTATGCTAACACTATTCTACACAAGCTTGTGTTGTTGTGCATTACATTAACACAAACTTATGGAGATTTGTAAATGTGTTATACAATTAACACATGTAATGTGTACCGTTAACAATTTGTTTTTCTGAATTCGAGTTCCACAGGATTAATAACCGATAGGATAGAATTAGAAGAAAATAGTTCTAGAGCTCATATCAATATAATATGAATGTTAAAGTGATTTGTATTCAATCTTTAAAAACTATATTGCAATATTTCTAATCAATTATATTCGGTGAAATACGTGAACCGTTCAAATTGAACGACAGTCGTTTACCTTTTTAATCTATTTTACACGCTTTTTATTATTATTTTGTCGTTTGTAAATCAGCCTTTATAGTCCAGGCATTTTAACTTAATTTCGCACCATTCCGGACAGTTGCTGCAATAGAAATGCCGATCACGGTTTATGGTTGGTCTAGACATATTTTATCACCAAAAAAGTCCCAGTTCGAAATCCGTACCTAAATGGGTCAGATTAACAAAAATCCAAAATAGCCCCCAGTTTTGATCGGAAAATGCATTTTTTTATTTACTTAT